TCAGCCTTACCTCAGTCCCTGGAAAAATCATGCAGGGGATCCTCAAGGAATCCATTTTGAAGCACTTGGAAGTGGGGAAAGTGATCAGGAACAGTCAACATGGATTCACCAAGGGCAAGTCATGCCTGACCAATCTGATTAGCTTCTATGATGAGATAACTGGCTCTGATGATATCAGAAAGTTGGTGGATGTGATATACCTTGACTTCAGCAAAGCTTTTGATATGGTCTCCCACAATATTCTTGCCAGCAAGTTAAGGAAGTATGGATTGGACAAATGGATTGTAAGATAGATAGAAAGCTGGCTAGACTGTCAGGCCCAACGGGTAGTGATTTACAGCTCGATGTCAGGTTGGCAGTCAGTTTCTAGCACAGTGCCCCAAAGATAGATTCTAGGGCCAGTTTTGTTCAACACCTTTATTAATGACCTGGATGAGGGGATGGATTGCACCCTCAGCAAGTTTGCGGATGACGCTAAGCTAGGGAGAGAGGTAGATACCTTGGAGGGCAGGGATAGGGTCCAGAGTGACCTGGACAGATTAGAGGATTGGGCCAAAAGAAATCTGATGAGGTTCAACAAGGACAAGTGTAGAGTCCTGCACTTGGGATGGAAGAATCCCAAGCATTGTTATAGGCTGGAGACAAATGGCTAAGTAGCAGTTCAGCTGAAAAGGACCTGGAGGTTACAGTGGATGAGAAGCTGGATATGAGTCAACAATGTGCCCTTGTAGCCAAGAAGGTGAATGGCATATTAGGTTGCGTTAGGAGGAGTATTGCCAGCAGATCTAGAGAAGTGATTATTCCCCTTCAGGAGGGTGCAGGAGCAGGCTGGGTGTGAGGGTGCAGTGTCTGGGGAGGAGACAGCATGCAAGAGTGGAGTGGTAGTTGTGGGGTCTTGGTGGGGAGCAGGGTGCAGGAGCTGGGTGGAGTGAAGAGTCTGGGCAGGAGGGAAGGTTAAGAGTGGGCTGGGGTGTGGGTGGGATCTGGAAAGGAGGGGATACAGGAGCAGGTTGGGATGCAGATACAGAGACTGGGTGGATGGAGATGTAAGAGGGGGCAGGTGATTTGGGCATCTATCTGGAGCAGCTCCAAGGGGTCACAGGTGGCTCTGCGTGACTCTGCAAGGTGCAGAGAAGTGCACTCTGCAAGCACCATCCCCTGCCACTCCCAAAGCAAAAAGTTGCTTCTTCCTCCCTGACAGGCAGAGACCATGGCCCAGATCTGTCCTGGCATTCCCTGATCAGGCCAACGAGGCTTGGGACGCCACCCCACCCTTGCAGTGAGGAGCAGGTGGTGGCATTCAAGCCACAGTGCCCTCACTGGGGGGCAGTGAGCCCAGAGCCTTGTGGGCCAGATAAAAGCTAGGGATGTGAAAGGCTAGTCAACTATCCGATAAGCAAAAGCTTATCAGACAGTCAATACACTAGTCAACTAGTTGCTTCCCAACCTTGCTGCCTCTATCAGAAAGAGGCAGCAAGGTCGGGGGGAGGAGGGGTGGCTTCAGAGTGGCAATGACTCCCCGCTGACCCCAGCACTGCTGCTTTGAAATGCTGCATGGGACTCCCTGCATCATTTCAAAGTGGCAGCACCACATGGAGCCTGGGATCAGCTGGGGACTCCAGAGCTAGCCCCCAGCTCCACGCAGCATTTCAAAGTGGCAAAGCCACGTAGAGCCAGGGTCAGTGTGTGGGGAGGTGCCCAGCTGACCCCCTGTTACATTCTGTGCTGCTGTTTTGAAATGCTGAAGGGAGTAAGGGGTTAGAGGGAGACTCAATCAGTCCACCGCTGGTCCGGTGCTCCCCACATCGCTTTCACCTTTGAAGTGTAGCAACAGCCCTGGGGCTGAAGTGTTTCTACACTTCAAAGGCAAGGCTCCTTTATAGTCTAATCGAATAGTCCATGCAAACTGCATTGACTATTCGATTAGCCTATTAATCTAAATTAAACATCCCTAATCCAGGCAATCCACAGGCTGGATCATGTGCCATAAGTTCCTACTTTATAGTAACATGGTCTTGTCTGAAGATGCTAGCCATATCTGAATGAATGAGGTTTCTCCATACTCCTGCAATCAATACAACTAAAGAATTCTGCAATAGAATTCTATTGTAACAATTGTTCTCTGTTTAAATTCTTCAAGGAGATCAATATATGTTTTTTAAATGTCTCCAAAATCCATCACTAGCTGCAATGTTACATATTCAATATAAAGAGACCCAGTAATTGAACCTTGTCATCAGGTGATCTTCAAATTTTAATAGCAGTATTTGTTTCTCACATATAAGGCTATGTCTGCACTAGCACTTCTGTTGGTATAATTTATGTCACTCGAGGTGTGAAAAAAACAATCTTCTGAATCACCAGTGTGGATAGTGCTATGTTGGAGAGACATGCTTTTTTTTCAATATACTGTCACAGTTTGAGGGTGGTTTTATGTTGATGGGAGAGCTCTCTCCCATGTCAGCATAAAGTGGCTACATGCGATATCTTAAAGGAGCGCAACTGTATTGGCACAGCTGTGCCATTGTAAGGTCTCTAGTGTAGCCCTGGACTAAGTGGAAAAGATAGAGCACGATTGTTTTAAAGTGATCAAAAATTGCTTGAGAGCTCAAAAGTATTACTGTCTCTGTAGTTCGTCCCCTTTCTTTCCTCCACACCCCATCCTCCCAGCCCCATGGCTGGAACAGTGTTAACAGGCCACTTCAGCTTGAGTGGTCACTTGAAGTAAGTGTTAACTATTTACATTAAACGATCTTTTTCAGTTTGTATTTAGTTGTGACACTCAGAGTTCATTTCCCAGACCTGAAGAAAAGCTGTATGCAAGCTTGAAAGCCTGTCTCTCTCACCAAAAACAGTTGGTCCAATAAAAGATATTAACTCACCTACTTCATCTCTTTCTCAAACTGCACACTGCTTCTGAACATTGGGAAAGTGATCTATATTTCATGCCCTACCCACTAGTCAAATGAATTTATTTTGTCATGTTTTAGTTTAGTTTATTGAAGTCAGTAGTCATTTTATCTTGTCACTGATTTTATTACATCCAGAACCAGTGATAACATTTTGGCTATTTGTTAATGTCAGAACACGGACTTTAATCAGTGAAAACTAAGGCTTAAACACAGGCTTTAATGAAAACAGAGTATGTAAGACAGAAAAACAAAGAGTAAAAAGCAAAGGAAAGATTCAAGCATAATCTTATTGAAGCTTATCTGATACCATTAGTGATTTTGGCATGATGTGAAAAATAGAACACTCACAATTTTTTAAAAAGAGTTTTAATTGCATCTTAGCTCTTAAAGTATTATGAGTTATTTTTCATACTATCAACACTGATAATTCTTGCAGGAGAGCTAAGAAAAGGGGTTAGAATACATTATGCATGTAGTATATGATGTCATGAGTTAAAATAAATCAAGTTTGAGAAGTTTTGAGCCCACGAAAACTTATGCCCAAATAAATGTGTTCATCTATAAGGGTACGTCTAGACTACGTGCCTCTACTGACAGAGGCATGTAAAATACGCTACCCGACACAGTCAATGAAGTGGGGATTTAAATATCCCCCGCTTCATTAAAATAAAAGTGGCTGCTGCGCTGTGCCAGCTCAGCTGATTGTTGGAGGATCGGTCGACAGGGAATGCCTTTGTCGACTGCTCCCTTATGCCTCGTGAAATGAGATTTACAGGAGCGGTCGACAAAGGCGTTCCCTGTCGACCGATCCGCGTCTTGACTGCTGCTCTGTGCCGACAATTAGCTGAGCTGGCACAGCGTGGTGGCCATTTTTATTTTAATGAAGCAGGGGATATTTAAATCCCCGCTTCACTGACTATGTCGGGTAGCCTATTTTACATGCCTCTGTTGGCAGAAGCATGTAGTCTAGACATACCCTAAGGTGCCACAAGACTCCTCATTGTTTTTTCTGAAACAGACTAACACAGTTACATCTCTGAAGCTTGTTTCCAATAAGAAAGGGTCATAGATCACAGAATACAATACTCTTTGTACTCTTCAGCAATCTGTCATGAGAGAACCCTTCCTGGTGGTAAGTCCTAGGCCTCTGCTTTATTTAAGGCAGTGGTCACTAACCAGTACATTGGGATCTTCTGGTAGATCTTGGAGCCTCTGACAGGTGATTTGACTGGTATGGCCAAGAGGCTATCAAGCACTGCACTTCAGCTGCCTCTCCCTGCACTGCTGCATATCTCTGGCCCTTTGCCTTGGAGCTGTCCTCCTCTCCCACTCTGTATTCTATCTCCACAGAACAGGGGTGGGAGGCACAACAGTGTTTGGGATGGAGGGAGTTTGTTGGTTGCTTTTGGGAGTGGCGCAGGGGCGGGGTAGGGGTGAGCCTGCCTTAGCTCCATTGCACCCAGGATCCATCTGTGTCCAACTGGAGCCTGCATCCTGAATCCCTATCCCAGTCACGTACCCTCTCCTGCACCCCAAGTCCCTGCCCTAGCCCTAAGCCCACCTAGACCTAAGCTCCCTTACAGAGCCTTATCCTGAACCTCCTCCTGCCCCAGCTCAGCTCAGAGGCCCTCTCACACTCCAAATCCCTTAGTCCAAGACCAGAGCCTGCACCTCAACCCTCTGCCCCTGCCTGATGAAAGGGAGGAAGGATGGACTGAGCAGGTGCAGGGCTTGGAGAAGGGGCACAAAGGAGGTGGGGCAAGGGTATTTGGGTTTGAGGTAGATCCTGGATTGCACTTGAATTCAAAAAGTTATATCATCCTTCAAAAGATTGGAGACCACTGATTTAAGGGGAAGTCCTGAGACTCTGCCACTCATCAGATTGTGTCCTCAGGTTTCAACATCCCAGTTATACATTTCCTAGTTATAAAGCCCCCAAGAGAGAAGACTTTTTCAGGGAACCAAACCTGGCTCTTCTGCAGGAGCCACAGTGTAAGTGTTTGAAAAGCCTGAAATGTATCACTACAATGTGTCAACAGGAACATAGATAAGTACTGAAGTAACTATGGCTGTGCAGATGAATCTTACCTGACTTTTTGGCTTCTACTTCCTTAGTTAAGCAGTCGTGCTTCAGATCATTGCCTTTCTTTCTGGAGCATTTGTTGAAGAGTTCTGCATGGGAGTTAACCCTTTAAGTCCCTGTACAAAAGGAGATGGGTAAACTGAGTCACACATTCATTGAAGATACAAGTCTCCCAAGCTCTCTATAGAAGTTAAACCTTATATTATCAAAATCCATAGAAATATCAAAGGACAACTGAGCATTTCCAGTAGTTGCCTATCATTGTAATCTGGGGATTCAGATTGGCAGCTGAATAATAGTTACCTTACTTCAGAGGCCTTTGAATAACAACATATCTGAAATTTAGATTCTGATTGCTCACTCACTACAACTATGAATATCTTATTTTTATCTTTTGATTCCTTTCTACATCTGTTTTCCATTTATTGTTACTGTAAAAGTTCACAAACACACTTATTGATTTATGTACATGACACAAATACTGAAATTCAAGAAGAGGTTTTTAAGCAATGAAACACTGCCGCAACTAGTCAAAATGCAATTAAGACTAACAACTAAATACTCTGAACACCAAAAATATGAACTTTATTTTCACAAGATTTTGCAACTACTTAGATTGGGCCACCACACACATGCACAAATAAGCTTCCCCTAATTGCTATAATTGGGGGAAAAGAGGCTGTAAGGTATCACTGAAGATATTTTAGAACCTTCCCTTGTTGCATGTGAAACTTTCAAGAATCAAAATGTGATTTTCTTCAAGCTAGTTTTTTTTTTTATTGAACACTACCTGTGGGAGATTAGAAAGAACCCTAGTCTGACTATTTTCACTTTGCTACAAAATCCAGCTTTATTGCAGCATCTTATCAATAATAATTGCTACTGAAGAATGATATGGCCCAAGAGGTGCTTGTTTAAAGTATGACAAAAAGGCTCTACGGGTATGTCTACATTACAGTACTAATTCGAACTAAGCTAATTCGAATTAGCACATCCAGACTTAAAAACTAGTTTGAATTAGTGTTTTGCTAATTTGAACTAGCATGTCCACAATGAGTGGACCCTGAACCGAGGTTAAGGATGGCTGGAAGCAGTGCAGGCAGGGCAGCAGATTAGGACTTAGAGCGTGGAGCTGCTGTCTCAGGCTAGCCGAGGGCTGTGCTTAAAGGGACCCGACCCCCACCCCAGACAGACAGTTCTCAGGGGTTCCCTGCTTGCAAAGCAGTCCTGGCTTGGAGTGCCCTGAGTGCCCACATTCGGCACATCACAGCACTCGGCCATCAGCCCGGCTGCACTTGCCGCAGGCTGCCATCCGGGGGGGGGTCAATCGGGAGGCTGCAGGAGAGCTTCCACCCCGAGGAGCCTGCAGAGCCACCCCAGTCCTCCCCACTGGGGGCTCGTACCCCATTCCTCCCTCACCTCCTTCCACTTACCCCTCCCTAAACCCCCTTCCTGATGTACAAAATAAAGGACACGTGTGTTCAAAAATAGAAACTCTCTTTATTGAACAAAACTCGGGGAGACTGGGAAAAGGAGGTGGGAGAGGGGAAGAGAGAGGGTGGGAGAGGGGAGGGCAACTAAAATGATCAGGGGTTTGGAACAGGTCCCATATGAAGAGAGGCTAAAGAGACTGGGACTTTTCAGCTTAGAAAAGAGGAGACTGAGGGGGGATATGATAGAGGTCTATAAAAGCACGAGTGGTGTGGAGAGGGTGCATAAAGAAAAGTTCTTCATTAGTTCCCATAATAGAAGGACTAGAGGACACCAAATGAAATGAATGGGTAGCAGGCTTCAAACTAATAACAGAAAGTGCTTCTTCACAAAGCAAATAGTCAACCTACGGAACTCCTTGCTGCAGGAGGCTGTGAAGGCTAGAACTAGAACAAAGTTTAAAGAGAAGTTAGATACAGTCATGGAGGTTGGGTCCATGGAGTGGTATTAGCCAGGGGGTAGGAGTGGTGTCCCTGCCCAAAGTTTGTGGAAGGCTGGAGATGGATGGCACGAGACAAATGGCTTGGTCATTGTCTTCGGTCCATCCCCTCCAGGGT